GCAATGAGACAGGGCTTCAAGTAGAAGTGTACATAAAATGTTCTGTGCACACCAAAGCAGAACAATTAATTTTGTGAAAGTTGTTGAAACGGAGTGGGGGCTGTGGTCACTGAAGACCAGTGTGGTACAAGGGAGCTGGTACAGGAGCTCCACATAAAGGAGGAATTGAGATTTGACAGGCAGAGAAGAGGAGAGAAGGAAAATGAACATTCCAGGGGAAAGGACCTTTTTCCTAGTTATGAAGGCATAGTCAGGGACACAACATTCTGGAGTGGGTAAAGGCGTAAGAGGGTAGGAGACCAGAGTATAATTACAAAACTAGACTTCACTGTATTCTGAAGGGGATTACATGCCACATGAAGGAGCTTGGATTAAGGTATATCCTGTAGGCAGCTGGAAATGGAAGAAAGTCTCTCATTCTGGTAGTGACATGATAAAAATATGACTAAGGAAAAGCCTGAACGCCACCTTCCAGGGGTAAGCAGATGAACTCTCATCTAGACTGAGGCAAAAGAATGAAGAATGTAGGGACAGAAGAAGGCTTCTCAGAAAGTAGAACTGTGGGAAGTAAGGAGAGAAGATAGATCCTGGTTCACTTTTGGGCATCTGGGAGGATAACTGGGTCCTGACTGAACCAAGGAGGATGAGAAAATAAATTTGCATTAACAGTACATAGGGAGGGGTACCAGATCGGTTCTTTACTGTGTGTTGAATTTTGAGGTGCCTCAAGGAGAATTCCTGTGAGTAGTTGGAGATGCAGATCTACGGCTGTAGAAGTCAGTCCCTAAGCATGAGATTGCCAAGGGGTGAAGGGGGACAAGGAGAGAATGAGAATGAAACTCTCAGGAATGCCCTTCTAAGGGGTGAACAGAGGGACAGAAGATAAAGAAGAGCCAGAACACTTAGTAGGATATTCAAGGGGGACCCAGAGAAGGAAGTGAGACAGAACTCAGAAGACAAGATGTGTTCCTGCTGGAGAGACTAATCGTTACTGGCAAATGGAGAAGAGAGGCAAGCAGAACTGCACAATGTCCACTGAGTGGTAGCTGAATGTTCTTACCCACCTGGGTGAGAGCAGTGGGGAGGGGGCAAAAATCAGGTGGCAGTGGATTAAAAAGAGAATAGGACCCAATCAATAGAACTCATGTAGTCTTCTTTCTTAAGTATTCGATGATAAAGAAAAGGTGAAACATAAGGCATTAGCCCAGAAAAAAAGGAAGTTGAGCTAAAGAAAGAGTGGTTGTTTTTGTCACTGTTTTTTACTTCTTAACGTCTGGTGGAGTCTTGAGCACACGTGTGCCAGAAAAGAAAGGATTGGTCAAAAACATGAGAGGAGGCGAGTTACTGAGAGAGTCAGATCTTTAGGGCACAGGCTGAAGGCTGAGACTTGGAAACGGGTAGAAATTTTTCTTCTGGCATACCAGGGAAGAAGGAAAGAGTAAGTTTAAGCCTAGAGGAGTCTGAAGAAGGGAGGAAGGCAAACTCTTGTGAGTTTCTGCCTGAGGTCTCTTTTTTCTTGATGAAGCAGCTGGCTAGGAAATCTCTGAAAGTGAAGTAAAAGTGAATATACTAAGAGAGAACTCTGTTAACAAATACCAGTGTCTTGTGTACTCCTCTAAAAACATTGCTTCAATTTCTCTAGTGAGAAAATTAAAGACACCTCAAAAAGGTGGTTGAGTATGACTCCAAAAATTCAGGAAAATTCAGACTATGGACTTCTAAATACAGAAGAGTCTCCCTATAGCTAGACAAACATGACTTACACAGCTTACATTGCCTGGGGCTCAACAAATGCTTTCATAACATTTCCTTTAAGCAACTTGGGGTAAACTCTGCACATAAGATTTAGAATTTATCTGGACTAAATATGCTGGTACTGTTTATCCTAGAAGAAAAAAATGACAGAAACAGAAAAGTCGGTCCTTTCCTTATTATGGGAATCATGTTAAGCCTAGGAAAGAACTGATGTATCTCTGCAGTCTTTTTAGAAACTCCAACCACTGGCTATCAGGTCTGTTGTGTGCTGCATAGTTGCCCTGAACAAATGAGCCACAGGCACAATCGTTAAAGATAGACATCAAACTAGACAAACAATCATTTAGAAAGAATCAAGGCAGCCATATTGTTTGCTAGGCATCAGCTCATCTACACCACTGCTGTGGTATCACTAGTCTCCAGAGGCTACTTAATTTCAGTGCAACAAGACAGCCAGCCTGATACAGAAAATGGAAGCCCTTTGATCTCATACCAAACAGAGTCAGACTGAGAGAAGAATCTAGCAAGCAAGATGACTGTCTCCAAAAGGAGAATAACACTGCAGGAAGGAAAGAAGGAAAGTCATAATATCTAATTTTGGCATTCTACCAACTTGGTTTGCTTACGTAAGGATTAAGAAGTAATAAATGTATCCCAATGAATGAATAGGATTTGTTTGCTCTTAGTGATAAAGCTCTAATGGTACTGTCGCTATGAAGTCTTTCAAACTATCAACATTTTCAGTTAAGTGTTAACACCAGTGAGGAAAAGCACAATAGAAGCATAGTAATGGTAAGAACACCTGCCTTTTAGCACCTAACTATATTGGACAGGTGTTTTTCAACGTCCAGCTTTACTGCCACAATAAACTACCTCTACTAAGGAATTTCCCTGGGAGGGCTTTATTATACTGTGAATTAAATAGCATTTGTTATGCTTTGCAAATAAATTAGGTAGCTACCCATGCAAGAAACTGACTTTGCAATAATCAGAGTATCTATGAATATACGAGTGTGTGTGTAGAAAGTCATCAGACCACTAGTCATACACCAGAAAACTCATACAAATTTGTGTTCTCTATTCTAATGCAAAAGGTCCACATTTCAACAATCACATCAGTTGTATTTTACATATTTAATCTATGGTGGTTTCAAAAACTAGTCCAAGACTATGATTATATACATAAGTTTAAATAAGTTACAATATTTAGGGGTGAAAAATTCAGAATCATACAGTGTATTTCCTTTAAATACAGAGTGTTCCTTTGAAAAATGACATCCTCTCTAGTGGTTCAGCTAACTGGATTTCATTCTTGATGTATGTAAAAAGCCTAGGATATCTGATATTTGGGAAAGTGTTTCCTCCCACTATTTGACACTTAAAGCTGAAGAACTAAGAAAAAAACTACAAAAGCAGTGTCAGAAAGAAATCCAGGCAGATTATAAAGTAACCTTTTTCTTACCACTGGCAGTATCCATAATGATGAAGTCAAATTTACAACAACAAATGACATTTATTTGAATGAATCTAGAAAAAATGTGGCTGTCTGATGATATGTATTATATGGATATCTTTGAAATAAGTTCTGGCCCTCTTGGGATTTTTTTTTTCAGTAAAATTTATAAGCCCATACTTTAAACTTTCGGAGTCCTCAACTGTCCACTTCTTTTCCTCCTTATTCAAAACTGACATCCGTTCTCTGTTCCACCATCATAAAGGCACCACAGCTGTTGTTTACTGAACTCCTGTGAGACCCACTCCCATCCTTCTAGATGAATGCAGCATCTGGCTTATGATTTTCTTCCACAGCTTCATTCTTCATCATCACTTCTGACAACTTCAGAATTCATTCTAGGGACCCCAGGAGTTACCTTAACTGTGCAGCCCCATGATCTTGTCCACTGCAATCCTCCAGCTCCACCCTACTCAGCCACGTACCAGCAAGCTCGCTCCCTGAAGTGAACCACTACAGGCACTTGGAATTCTCATTTTTTGTACATGACCCCCATAACTACCACTGCATCCCTCCCCCTAACCCCCAACCTCTTCTTGCTTTCTGCTCACCAGGTCCAAACTCAGGAGTCCTCTTCTCAGCCCATCACTGCCCTCTCTAACACCAACACCCCCATCAAATTCTTGTGACCCATATTCAGTGAGCAAACCCACATTTTACACACAGTCCAATGTTTCTGTTCATGCCAAGATCACTGCTGGAGAAAACCTGTGACTGCTCTAGCTCACTGCAACATGCTCATGCTCACTTTCACTGCACCAGAATGCCAACAACAATCCCCTGATTCATTGCTAGGAACATTCTCCCCAACAGGTCTACACAAATAATTCTTGCCCGTGTTCCTCAAAACCTCCTGTATATTTCCTGTATCGTTCATGAAGCATCGAATGTAACTGCTCTCCCCTCCCCTCCACATCTCCTCAACATGCTCCTGTCTCTCCACTAAACTTCCCTCAATTTTTGTCTGCTTCAAAGTCGCTTTTACCACCATTTATCAGACTTCTAATTCTATATTTTTAACCTTGGGATCTCTCCATAAGTCCAATGTCACATTAACAACTGCTGATAACATGTCCCCATGCTTAGTACCAAGCTAGTATATGGTAGGCACTCAGTATATATTTATTGATTGAATGAATTAGTAAATAAATGAATCGATACCCGGATGTTCTACTTCTGATTCAACTCTAGGCTAAGTGGTATTAATTCAAGAAGAAAAGATTATCAAAGAGGAAGACTGCTTTCTGTAGCTTCTACCCCAGCTGTTGCTATCACCTTCATTCCTGGCCTTTGGGTGTTGCATTGATTTTTCAACAGAGACTTTTTTTTGGAGGTAATTGCAACATGGAATCAGGCCCACATATGATTATCCTAAATGAAATAAAAACAACTTGATTGCACAAGCAGTGTTTTAAAAGGGCAGTAGTTAAATGCATATTACTTAAATACAGTATACATAAAGTAACATACTTATAAAATCAAAGGAACATAACATCACCCCCAAGCCATCCTGAACACTAACAATCTTTTGCTGTATTCAAATTCTCAGAGCCAGATTTTTTGTGTGCGTTCTTCAGAAGTATAGGATCTTTATGATAGTGTAAAAAATAGTCAGCTACCACATCATTCTATATGCTTTCCCACATGCTGTTTCTATTATGTATATTATTTTAAATTTCTTATGATCCTGTTAAAAATATGTGTTTATAAATTGTAAATTCTGTTTTTCTAGTTTCTTCATATATGATTTCTTCCACCTCTAATGTGGATGGATTCCAGGAAACCCAGAAACAATAACTAACAAGATCTGAGCAGAGGAAGGAGAGGAATGGCAAATAAACGTTTTCCAGTGTGGGGTCAGGAGGATATTGGATCTTCCAATGTGCTCAACAAATGGGTTTAATAATGCACATTTCAGTATAAAACAGTTCACAACAGAAATATTTGCTACTCAGCCCATTTATCCTGGGAATTACACAACATGGACCATTTTCAATAACTCTCTTCACAATAATGATTTCCTCCTGCTCAAGCAACAGAGATGTATAAACTGTTTTGGTCTAGAAATGTAATATTGAGATACGGATGTGTTAAAGAATAATTAAAATACAATCATTTTCATCACTTTCAGTGCTATATTGTCTTTATTAAGGTACTTCAGCCTTCTTAAATCTGTCCATCCAGAGTATAAAATTGTTGAGTTTTTTAAGAAATTCAGAATCTATACTAGACAACTTGAAAAGGTAGATTTATTTCAAAGGCATGGTAAAGTACTAGTAGACCAAAACAAAAAAACTGAAGATGTATTTTTTAGAAGACCAGTTAGTTTCTCTTACTTTGTAACTTAAAGATTTTGAAGTGCCTTTTGAATCCTAAAAAATAACATTATGTTTAATATAATTTTGACTTATTTTATTTTACAGTCTAATGACCATCCATATATATTGTATAGATAGTAACTTTTACTTAATAAGACTATTCAATTGTGTAAAACCTCTTCAGACATTCTGAATGAATGGAACTATAATGTTATTTGTTTAATCATTCATTTATTCATCAAACAGGTATTAAAGGGATATGATACATATGGTACAACAGTAGGAACTGGTTCTCCAAGAATTTGTACAAGTAATAGAGAGAATTAAGATGTACTTCCATATCAGTATAATTACAGTAATAATTACCATAAAAGAGATGTAAAAATTCATAGGACTATAGAGATTTGTAATAACATTTTTATTGGTATGACAATTTAGTGCTTAGAATGTTTTGTTTTCCAAAGCCATCTGAATGACAATCTCATAAAGCAGTGCCCTTTATTCATGGGTTTATTCTTTTAGTCTTTGTGTACTCAGAATTTTTTACCACATTTGCCTAATACCTGGGAAGCAAAAATTCAGGGAATGTTTATTTACTGAGCACATACTGTGAATGAAGCACTAAGCCAGACACTAGCCATACACATTAAAAATGAATACAGCAGATAAGGTCCCTTTGCTCAAGGAGTTTCTAATTTAATAGGAGGAAAAAAACACACATTTCCATTGAACATGGCTTTCCTTCCTTCCCACATTCTCACCATCACTGGAATTGAACTTTATTAAGCACCAAAGTAACAACATTATTTCACTGAGACTCCCTAAGAACAGCAAACAATACCATTGATTATGGTTGATTTTATGGTTAGCCCATGATTATTGATAAAGTAACTCATTGTTTGCTAAAGCACTGGGTGCTGCTAGTATAACCCACACAGGGTTAAAAAGCTGAGATGGCATTTCTGATCAACTGGAGCAGCAAACAGTCTTTGATAAAGGGCCTCTGATCTCTAAAGCACAGGTTGCTTAAAAGAGCAAAATTCTACCCAGGAAGTGAGAGCTCTGAAAGATTTGCATCTCGGGACTCTTCCTGGTGATATGGAAGGTCCTTTTCTTCCAAAACTCTTACGCTGTGAATGAGAGCAGAGAGAAACAGCAGAAGAATTAAGGAGAGGACAGAGTTAATGCAGAACAGACTATGCAGTGTATGAGACAAGAAGTACAGAAGAAAGTATGAAAAAGCAGAATTTATGAGAAGGAGAAAGAGGAGGAAGAGGGGGAAAGAAGGAAAGGAGGAATGGAGGGAAGAAGGCAGGAAGAAGATAGAGCATATAACACTAGTAGCAAAAGACCCAAGGGTCTGATGGCCGTACCGACTGGACACAGAAAACTCTGCAATAAATCCTAGGCCAGGTGCCCAGGAACAAGAAAATAAAACTCTCAGAAGTGATAGCTGTTTTATCAGGAGAAATATCAATAATAATCATAGCTAACATGTACTTTCTATGTGCCAATCCTGTAAGTGTTTTACATGGGTTAACTCATTAAATCTTCAGGATGACCTTTTAGGCAGGGAGTTTTAACCCAGATAAAGAAACTGAGATTCAGAAAAGGTAAGTTATTTACTCAAGGACACAGAGCTAACAAGTGGCAGGGCCTGGATTTGAACCAACACAGCTGGCTCCAGTGCCCCTACTCTTAAGCACTACGCTACCCCTCACTAGTTTTCATCAGGCATATTAAAACCTAGATTAATAAAATGGCAGAAAATAAATGTGCTGGAATGAGACATGAATCTGGCCACCTCTGGCTCCTAAAAGTGCTTCCAACTCTTTATATGAGGAGAGACAAATATTTTAAACAAAAAAGCTCACATTTGTTACATACTCATTCCAGTGTAAGAGATAAATTAGTAATTTTAGATACAATTTTATGTATGGTGTGTGAATCAAATTATCCTAAGATGAACAACCAGCTGAAGCCCCCTAGCAGAATATTGGTTGGATGTGAAATACCTAAATTTAGGAGGATCACACTAAAGTATATATTACAGTTATTCTTAATTTTAAAACTATCACCCAGCCGAAGATTGGCTAGTTGTAAGTCTGTGTAAAATGAGGAGAGGTCATTTATTCATTTATTCAACAAGTATTTATTCAGTGCCCACTGTGAACTAAGCGATTATTTCAGTGATACAAGAGAATATAAAGCAAAGTTCTGCTCTTCTGTAGATAACATTTTAGAGGTGGGGTGGAGATTGACACTAAACAAATAAACCTATAATGTATCAGATGGTGATAAGGGCTCAGAAAGAAAAACAGAGTGAAGTAAGATGGCTAGAGACCAGAGTAGATGCAATTCATGTAGGGTGGTCAGAGTAGGTCTCTCTGATGACTTTTGAGCAAAACTTGAAGGAAGAGTGATGACAGCTGTGCAAATGTGTGGGTGACGAGTATTTCAGCCCAGGGGAACAGCAAGTGCTAAGGCCCAGAAGTGTCAATGTGCTCTGTGGGTTTGAGGAATAGCAAGGAGGCCACTGTGGCTGGAGCAGAGGAAGAAAGAGGGAGAGTGTGGGAAGAATCAGAGTAGTGATGGTATAGGGCAAGACCATGTAAAGACTCGTGAACAGTGGGAAATTCTTGGATTTTATTCTGAGAGAAATGGGATGACACTGGAGGGTCTTCACATTAAAGGAATGATATGATCTGACTTTGATTTTAAAAGGATCACTTTGATTGCTCTTTGGAGAAGTCAGAGGAACAAGAATAGAAACAGAGGAAGTTTTTTTGTTAGGAGGCTATTGAAATAGACCAGGTGACAGATGAAAGTGGCTGCACTAGTGGTCGAGGTCTGATACAGGGTTGGCAGGACCTGCTGATGGAGTGCATGTAGTATATGGAAAAGAAACAGAAGTCAAACTTGTTTGCTAGATTTTGGACTAAGTAAGCAGAATGCAGAAAGAAGTAGAAGAATGGAGAAAACTGGAAGTAGATTTGGGGAAGGAAAATGAAGAGTTCAGTTTTGGATGTGCTAAGTTTGAGACACCTCTTAGACATCTATCCAGAAGTATCATGTAGTCACTTGGATATATATGTCTAGGGTTCAGTAACAATATCCAAAGGGAGATTCAAATTTTGGAGTATCAGTATGCAAATTTAACATCATGATACTAGATGACGTTGCCCAGAGGGAGAGTGAAGAGAGAGGAGATTAGTTCTCAGGACTAAGCCCCACAACACAGTTATGGACTGTGAATTTTGTGTCCTCTCTTAACTTCATGTTGAAACCATAATTTTCAGTGTGATAGTGTTTGGAGAATGGGGGTCTTTTGGAGGTAATGAGACCATAAGGGTGGAATCCTCATGAAGGGCTTAGTGCCCTTGTAAGAAAAGATACAAGAGAGTTTGCTCCACTCTCTGCTTTCTGCCATAACCAGAAAATGGCTGTCTGTAAACCAGGAAGGGGTTCCTCACCAAGAACTTAATCATGGTGGCTCCCGGATCTTCAACTTACAGCCTCCAAAACTGTGAGTAAAAGATGTGTGTTTTTTAAGCCACCCAGTCTATGGTATTTTTGTTATAGCAGCCCAACCTAAGACACACACCTTGAGACTGGGCAGAGGAAAAGTAAGCGACAAGGGCAGTGAAGAGGAATGACTGTTAAGGAGGAAAAGAAGGCAGAGCATGGAATCCTAGAGACAGTGAAGAAAACAGTTCAAGAAGGATAAGCGATGAGCTGTATGGAATTTCTTCCTTGATTTCTTCTATATTCTCAGCGAAATGAAAAGCAAGGGCATTGTGACTGAGAAGAAAGTACTAGAGGTTTGAGGAGCCAGGAGAAGGTATGAAATAATCTTCTGGGAAGCAGGACGGAGAACTGACTCGGGAAATGTAGCAGCACTGCCTAGAGGTGGTGGGCTGTCCCAGAGAGCTAGCTGCTCATTTGGCAAACACATAGGCAGGAGCAGGGTGGGTTGAGCCGCTGTGAGATGCAAAATTCACTGTTAGCCTTATTCAGCCTCAGTGTTGGAAGATTTGCAGAGGCCGGGAAGAGGACACTAACAGAATTAAGGGAAATTTGGTCGGAACATCAGCCTCTGGTACCTGGTCAGATGAAAGAGCAGGGAACAGGGCTTGATCAGGCCAAGTATTTCCCAGGGTGTCCTCAAACAACTGGAGTCAGGGAACACCCTACGACTGACTGGTGGTTGAGTAGAGAAGTCAAAGATGAAGGCCCACAGACTGAGAAGAGGCCATAAATCTGAAGAGTGACAAAGCCAACTCAGTAGGTGGAAGAACGAAGAACATGTAGGGAAAAGGATGGTGAAACAGGTCACATTTGTGGTCTGGGTTTAGGCAGTGAAAACTACAAGGATGATGGAAATCCACCTTACTGTGTATACCACCAGGAGGGTCTGAGAGCTTGTATGAGAGTCAAAGAGCTTGCAGAACAGTTTAACTGCTGACTGCTGAGTCTTAGAGGGTATCTCCATATGTGAAACAGAACCAAGAGGAAAAGCTGGCAATGGAAAACAGAAGAAAATCAAATCAAGAAATGGCAAAAGTTATGTGTCATGATGGCTAAAAGAGGAGATAATTTCAAGAAAAGACTGAAAACCAGCTTTAGAAGTGCAGAACCTAACAACTAAGAAAAAACTGCAGCTGACGGCGTCAGTGAGGATGCTGGAAATAACAGCTTCATGGAAGCAGTGAAAGGAGGAAGCGTTCCCTGAAGGTGAAGGAGGCCTGAACTGTAAAGAATGCCCACATCTGCAGTGTCCATTGCAGA